CTTTATTTCAGGTACGCTCCAGAATGTTTAATTCAGTGTAAATTTTATATTGCCTCTGATGTCTGGTCTTTTGGAGTGACTCTGCATGAGCTGCTTACTTACTGTGATTCAGAGTCTAGTCCAATGGCTGTAAGTCTTAACTTTTCTCTTCATCTGAATACAGAACCCAACTAAAATATGTCCATGCCTGTGCTTTGTAAGTTTTGCTTTTAAATGGAATCAAGTCAGTATACTATATTGGAAAGATAAAAGTCCACTTTTCTATTTTACTTGGTTTGTTACTTATCTGTGAGTCTCTCAAGTTTGGGTTTCATAAGGAACTCAAAGTTATACTGGATGATCCGACTTTCCAGGGTCTGTCTTATCTGTGAGAGTTTGTGCCTTGTTAATTTCTGAATGAGATCATCTTCATGAAACAGCCTCCTTGGCTAGCAGAATCTAAGACACTGATTCCAGATTAACTGTTGAGAGCTAGGAAGGATTTTGGATTTTTATTTAACATTGCTTAAGGAGAAAAACATTTTTATTGTTACTTTAATTTCCAGTTAATTCTAGAAGTTGTACTTTAATCTGCTTAATTTTTATACGAGTGTATGCAAAGTAAACATTTTGTTTGGTTTTATTTTACATAGTTGTTCCTGAAAATGATAGGCCCAACTCAAGGCCAGATGACGGTGACAAGACTTGTGAATACACTGAAAGAAGGAAAACGTTTACCATGCCCGCCTAACTGTCCTGATAAGGTATTTATCTTTCCATAGCTCAAGATATCCAGCAAGGAAGTGGGGTGGGCAGTGAGTGAGGAGATGGAGTAGAAACCACCTGTAAAATAGTTTTCTGAGTCTGAGACATCTAAGGAATCATCTTTGGTGTGGATGATAGTAATGTTCAATGCAAGTACTCTCTCCAGAAAGAGGCTCCTTTCCATGCTTGTCCACACACACCCCCCCAAGGAAGTTTTGGTGTAGCCTTATTATGAAAAATATATATAATTGTACTTTTGTGTGTAATTTTATCCCACTTAATAACAGCATTTATAATGTTTATTCTTTTTTAATACTCTAAAATTAATTGAGGCTTTCAGTCTCAACTCCTTACCACTTAGATACACTGGATAGAATAAGTCCAAGAGTGAGGTGGCCAGTGGCAAGACGGAGTCTAAACATAAGGGTTGGTAGTGACATGGACTCTGCTGAAGGGCAGTCAGCCATGAGCTTCTCAAATGTTAGTACCATTTATGAACTGCAGTTATGAATATTTCCTATATTTTAAATAATTGAAATTTTTTTACTCTTAATAATTACCTTATAGTTCCAAAATTATTTCCTTACGCTTGATATTTCTATAATTTTTTTGAAAAGCTTCCAAACATAACAATATTTTTACTATGACTACAGTTCTTGTTTTTACTTTTTATAGGTTTATCAACTTATGAGAAAATGCTGGGAATTACAACCATCCAATCGGACAACCTTTCAGAGCCTTATTGAAGGATTTGAAGCACTTTTAAAATACGAAGCATGAATATCATCTAAATTCCACTGTTTGTTGATAAAGTAATCCTCCCCCAACAAATATCCAAGCCATTTTTAAAAAAATTTTTTATGGAAAAAGTTTGTGTTCTAACAAAATATAGTCAGCAAGTCCTTGAGCATGTGCACATGTGTACAGCACACTGTGGTGCTCAGCATGGATAAAAACTTCTTTTCAATTCAGCCTCTCTCAAAGTTAGTGACAAATGACAACAAAGATACCTAGAAAGCACTTAAGCACTCCTCCCTTTGGAAAGAATGTCCCACTCACTGTTTCATCTAGCTAATTTACTGTCATAATTACATACCAAAATGGGATTTGTGAAAATAAGAGGAACTGACCAAAGTGATGTCTCAAGATGATTGCTGTTCCCAGCTGCCAGCTGATCTGAAATGTTTTTCTGGCACATTAATCTTAGACAAAAATTGATGGACTTAGGTGATACTCTTAACATACCCTCAGATTTCAATATCTAGACAGTGATAGACCAAGCATTCTTAAAATAGTAGATACCAGTTAGTATACTATCGTTTCCTTACCAAAAAAAAAAAAAAAGAGTAGGTATTCCTGTCATCAGTAAGACTGAAATATCAAGCTGTTTTTTCAGTGGCTCAGTTGCTGGTCCCTTGATTGACTACTGGGTACCCATTGTTGAGCAACCTGGTTCTGCACAGGAGCCAGCGTGGAAATAGATACTCTGCTGCATGTTATTATTTCTTGAGAACTAAGCCTGGGCCAGTGCTTTCCTAAGCAGTCAACTTTTATCAGACAGACTTTGCAAACCTGGATGCTATTAGACATGCTTTTAAGAAACATCAGCGCATATCCTTTTATAACTCTACCACTTTGGGGCAAGCTGTTCCAGCATTGGTTTTGGATGCTGTATATGAACAGAATGTATACCACATACATTGCACTGTTCTTAAGAGTGTTTCAATACTTACCACCCATCTACAAGGGTCAATCACTATTGTGACCATCATCTTATGGTGCAAAACTTGAAAGAAAAGACCCATCTAAAGGCACTCTGGAGTTCAGGATACATTTAGATGGTTTTCAGTTTGCTTGGAGGTAGCTGGGTAATTAAAAATGTTAGTGTCTGATTTAATGTGAAACAAAGTTCTTTACGACCAAGAGTCTGAAAAACTTTTCTGTTAATGATGTCTAGTATTCTTCAGTATCTTACTTTTCATCTTTTGAGCCCAAAGAAAGTTCAGGATTGCTTTAGTGGCAACAATAAACTTGACATTTAAATTTGTTCAGTTGCCCTGTATCTCTGTGTCAAACCTGTGGCCGCTCTGTATGCACTTTGTTTACTCTTTATACAAATAAATGTACTAAAGACTTTACATGCATATGCGTTTTAATATTTTCATTTTTGAAGCATTTCAAACAATTCACTTACATAGAAAAATAACAGTATAGATTCTGAGGGGAGGGTTGGTAATGACTTAGTACTAACACCACTTGAGCTGCACTTCTGTTATGTCTGATGAAAACGGGCCACAGGCCAGTATGGATGGCAAATCTACATGTGCTGTGAGCCAAAACATTTTTTAGTTCTTCCAATCTGTGCCTCTTCTCTCTTTGTTACTCATGTAAAATTCACCATCTTCCCTGTCTTCTGTTCTTAACTTCAATAGAAGTGTGACTAAGCGCTGAAGAGGCAAAATACAACAGGAAAATCAGAAGGAGACGTACAGGACATGGAGATGCCATTAGTCATCTGCCACATAACTGATGTAATCCTGATTGTGATTTATAGGTAGTATATTTCTTAGAAACTGTCTTAGTTTAACTTTCCAGCCATAATTTTCCAGCAGAAGCTAGTGAATGCAATAAATTAGACCAAGTAAAATTCTTTACAAAGCATACAACATATGAACCAGTTCTAGACTTTATAATTAAAGCAAGATATCTATATCTTAGTCAAAAACAAGTTCTTCAAAAGACATATTTTAAGGATATGATCTGAAAGACTAAGATCCTTGAGATCTCAAATTCAATCAGTTATAGTCATAACAATGAACAGACTTAGAAATTTCTAAATGGCAAAAGGTTTCTCATGCATTTAATACCACAGTCTTCAGAAAATGGTGATGTCAAAAGTCACATTAATAAAGACAAAAATTCTTTTCAGAAGTAAAGTTGGTAAAATCGCTCATATTTTTCAGCATAATATACTACCAAAGAATGAGAGACACACCAGAGAGTGAGGTATAGCTTATTAGCTCAAATGGTTATAAATACTATGTCCCCATAAGACTTTCAGAGTGCAGCATTGACTGCTTTACTTTATTGTGGAAATATAGGGCATTTGATGAGAAAAATGACCCTGTCTAGTAATTAGATCATCACTAGTCTATGCTATGAAATGAGACACAGAAACCTATGTTCTTGCCACTTATAAGTCTATCTCATAGGTTAAACCTCTTTCTTTAGGCGAAATAAAAGGAATGGGGAATTGGTGCCATTGGGTCAGTGCCAGAAACACTGTGAAGGGCCTGATAGTAAATGTTTTAGGCTTTGCAGGCTATATGGTTTCTGTTGAAGCTACTCAGTTCTACCAAGGTAACAAAAGTAGCTACAGATGATACGTGAATGAGTGAGTATGGCTGTGGTCCAATAAAATTTTGTAGACACTGATAATTGAATTTCATGTAGCAAGTTTTCATCCCCCCGCCTTCAAACACTTAAAAATGTAAAATGTCATTCTTAACCTTGCAGACAGCACAAGGATAGGTGGTGGACTGAATCTGGTCCTAGGGTAGTTTGCTAACCCCTGTGTTAGGTCACCAAAGTTTTTTTTAATCTAAGCTATCTTCTGTTTTTTACAAAAGGTATAAATAGTAACAACACGTTAAAAGTCAAGCATCTGCAGTATTGTATGCCTTGGACTTCATTATCATTCTGTTGTTGGGTTTAATAGTGCATGGCTGGTGTGGGGGTGATAATGAAATTTGCATAAAGAGCGTCTTTATAGCATGGCCATCAGCACATTTGGTACTTGCACCCTTGTAGTTCTAGGAAAAGTCCTAAAAATCTATAAATGAGATTACTTCTAGGGGAAGTAAATTAAAATGCACATTGGTTTATAAGAAATTCATTCTAAGGCTAAGGAAACAAGATTGTTTCCCATTTATTGCTTTAGACTTTTATATGTGATGTGAAAATTATTCCCATTCCTCAAACAAGGAACGTTGAAACATGATTAGTTTCTCCAATGGACAGTAAGTTAATATCACGTTGATTAAGAAGTATTTAATTCTAGTGGAAAATGTCCTCAATTGATGTCTCTTCTTATTGCTACCATTTTTTATTTGGCAATTCTGCCTGCTGCACAACACAGTTCCTTCTGGGAAATAATAAACCCGTATTTATAGGATATGGCTAGTTTGAATGAAGTTAAGGCAGCGATGAACAGCAGAGATACTGCAGAGAATCTCAGGAGGCTGTAAGGAGAAAACTTAGTATACTCGCTTCTTTTTTAAGTAGGTTTCCATGTAGTATGCTCCTGTGCCCTGAGAATGCTGGTCAACTAATTCTACTGCGCCACCTTCTGGAGCAGAGATGAGATAGGATGAGCCTCGCTTTTCATTTCTTAAAGAGGACACCTATAAGAATGTAAAATCACAATTAATATTAAAATGTAAATTATATTGGCTTATTAAGGATGTTTCTGAGAAAAACATTCTACTTCAAGTTGGTGCAAATACAGAATAGCAGGATAAATATCAAAGCCATCAAATATATATTTAAAAATATAAACCAGACACCATGTTGCATTCCTGTAATCCCAGCAATTTAGAGGAAGAGGCTAGGAGATCACAAGTTCAAGGTAACCATGGGCAACTTAGTGAGACCCTCTCTCAAAAAAAAAAAATTGGGCTGGAGGTGGGGTGTGGGGCTTGCTGGTATAGCTTAGTAGCAGGGTACCCCTAGGTTAAATCCTCAGTACCAAACAAACAACAACAAAACACATATACACTTCCTTAAAGTCTTTATATAAAAATCATCTGTGGAGGGCTGGGTTATTGCTTAGTGGTAGAACACTTGTCTAGCATGTGCAAGGCCCTGGGTTCTCTTTTTAGCACCATTAAAAAAAAAAAATCACCTGTGGAACTTTAGCTGAACACAAACCATCCCTCACCCTACCTCCAAGATGTGAGAGCAAGAAAAAAATTAAGAGCATTGTGTCCTTCTTGTTGGTTATACCTAAGCCCCACTGATTTAGAACACCAATACTAAATATTGATATTCCTTTGAGGAAGGGCACTTGCTAAGGAATGGAGCCACAGATCAGATTAGATGTTAAGTCTGCCTAGTGAGAGAAGAAGGGGCAAAGAATACACTTGCAGGTGTGAACGCTGGCAAATGATGTCAAGGAAAATAACATTCTAGAGAGGAACAGGCACTCAAATCAAAACTTTGGTGTCTCAAATAATCAGATTTCCAGGCTCTATCCAGAGATTCTACTCTGGGAATGGGTCAGGACCTGTGATCTGATCCCGAGGTTCTTCCTTTTACAAATGGTATGATAAGCTTGTTGAAAAGAATAATGCAGGGGCTGGGGCTGGGGCTGAGTGGTAAAGCGCTCGCCTAGCACGTGCAGAGTGCTGCGTTCAATCCTCAGCACCACATAAAAATGAGTAAAATAAAGGTATTATGTCCAATTACAAGTAAAAACATTTAAAAAAAAAGAGAAAAGAATAATGTACAAGAACATGGAAAGGAGTGATAAGGCAAGCTTTCAGCTTCACATTATAATTAAAACTCAATTGCTTTTGAACCAACTGCAGTCAACAATTTTTAAAATTGGAGCCAACCTCAGAGGAACGAAGGATAAGTCTGTCACAACTCCCTGTAGACAGTGCAGCCAGTCTTCCATCACACTTGTCAAGACAAGGGGTGACGGGACTAACAATTAGGGTGGCAGGGACTCCCTCTGTTTTGGCACATACTTCATTTCTGTGTGGTTTAATAATGCTATGGGACAACAATAGCCTTCACATAAACCTTGTTTTAAGGAATGGTTCACGAACTGAAGCACTAATTAACAAAGAATTTGGCTTTAACTTTCATCTGAAAGTTTTTCCTGGTAGTAAAGAAGCTCAGAGGTTTGCTCAGAAATCATCTGAGGGAGGGCAGTAGGTGGAGGCATAGATGATATGAGACCGGCCATAAGTTGTCAGTTGTGGAAGCTGAAGTGATGGGGACCAGGGATTCAGCTCTGGTGGCTGCTTGGCTCACCCCTCTGGACTGACTTTGCCTCCCTCTCACTCTCTTCAGCTGCCTTCTCCACGGGCGCCCTCAGTCAGCTGGTGAACTCCCTGCATGCTGGACCCCGGCCACTACACCTGGCATTGCTTGGCTTCCAGTAGCAACAACTCTTACCAGCTTTCTTCTTCTTATAAAGTCATGAGTCTGTCCTGAAAGTGAACTTTTCCAAAGCACACCCCCCCCACCGGGTCTAGCGCTCTCCTGCCCGCTTGCTTCCCTTCCCTGGTTCTCCCTGCTAGGTGGTAATCTATGGCTTCATGTCTTGGCATAAAACAAAGAAACAGCCTGAACTTTCTTTTTATTGTTTTCATTTTTGTTTTTGTAGTACTTGGGAACTGAACCACTAAGTTACCTTCCTCCTGATCCCTGACCCCCTGCCCCTGCTTTTTTTAAATTCGGAGACAGGATTTTGCTAAATTGTCCAAGCTAGCCTTGAACTTGTGATCCTCATGCCTCAGCCTCTCAAGTAGCTGGGATTACAGTTGTGCAGCCTGAATTTTCCTTTCAAAACCATCATTATTTTCAGGCACCAGATAGGACATTAGATTTCTTTCATTCAAAAGATATCCCAGGGCCGGGGTTGTGGCTCAGGGGTAGAGTGCTTGCTTAGCATGCATGAGGCACTGGGTTTGATCCCCGGCACCACATAAAAATAAAACAAAGGTTAAAAAAAAAAAAAGAAAAGAGAAAAAACAACAACAAAAAGACATCCCAATGGCACCAGGCTACTCACAGTGAGAACCAAATGAGATCTAAAAGCAATAAAATACTTCATGGAGCAGCACAGAAAATTTAGGAAGAAAAGGAAGTGAAGATAGATGCCATTGTGGTCATACAATACTAGGAGAAAGATGGTTCTAACACAGCCTATCAAAGACATCAAAGACATCTAACATAGTATAAGAACCAGTGAATGGGCAATGACAGTAGTTAGGATTTTTGAAATAAAGCTCAGTGATATGGGAGAAATAAAAGCCTAAGAACCAAGTTTTGTTTTTTTTTTTTTTTTTTTTAAAGAAAAGACAAATAAGCCAGGTACAGTGTCACATGCCCATCATCCCAGCAACTAGAGAGGCTGAGGCAGGAGGATTGCAAGTTTAAAGCCAGACTCACCAACTTAGAAAGGCCCTAAGCAACTTACCATACCCTGTCTCAAAATCAAAAGGAATGGGGATGTACTCAGTGGAAGTGCCTATGGGTTCAATCCCTAGAGAAAGGAAGGAAGGGAGGGAGGGAAGAAAGAAGGAAAGAAAGAAAGAACAGCCACAAAAGAGGGAAAGAACATGAACACATACTTTTCCTTCAACAGTTTACACAGATACTTGAAAAAACCTAGAGCTCTCCAGTTCAGGTGATGCTGAAGAATTATATCTTTGGAAGCAAATAAAACCCTGAGATATACATAAATATATCCCAGATGCTTTCTGTATGTTAACTCATTTAATGTTCAGAACAGCAGCCCTGGGAGGTAGGATGCTCAGAGAGGAACCCCCACCTCTGCACAGCCTGTGCTGGGATTTGCATATCCAGCCTGAAGTCTCAGTCAAATCTCAGTCTGAAGAATTCCAAAGAACACTTAGTCAAGACCCTACACATGTTTAATCCCTAGGCCTTGCCTTTCAGTGTGTATACTTCCAACAGAACATTCAAATCCAGAGAACTCTAACCTTCAGCAAGATCCTCCTTAGGGTGAGCTGAACTGCCCTATGAAATATGAACTTCATTTTTTTTTTAATTTTTTTAATATTTAGTTTTTAGTTTTCGGCGGACACAACATCTTTGTTTGTATGTGGTGCTGAGGATCGAACCCTGGCCGCACGCATGGCAGGCAAGCGAGCTACAGCTTGAGCCACATCCCCAGCCCCATGAAATATGAACTTCTATTCTTCCTCCCACCTCCCCCACTTTAAGGAACCACCATTTGATCCAGTTATCCCACTCCTCAGTATATATCTAAAATCATTTTTTAAAAGTACTTTCCAATTTACTGTGTAGTCTTAACATAGAGACATCTGTGCTCCTGTAATTGTTGTTTAAATTAGGTTTAGATTTTTAAGCAGCATTTTAAACGGTTAGTGTTTGCTTAAGGTTCTGATGTGTTGTGGTCCTCACAGCATTCCTTCCAATGTGCTCTTTTCCGCATTTTTCCCACTAGGTGGCAGAATTAGGCTTTGTGTGAAGGGACCAAGCACCTTCTGGGTCCTTTTGTTCACCTTCCTTTTAGTTTTCTTTCCCCATCACAGCATCTCATCACACAGTTCCCTGGTTCCTGTAGTCAGCTTCCTGGCAGGAATGATTCCTGGAGCCAGGGTGACACAGGAGCCCAGCATGCAAGTCAATAGGCTGCAGCTCATGGCCCACGTCAGATGAAAGTCTGAAGACAACAGTCACAGCGAACAACTGAGCTCAGTCTGAAAATGCTCTTCCATTATCGAAACCAATGACAATGTCAAGCTGAAAAGTGGCTGAAGATATACTCTGACCTGTTTTACCTTGATTAAAGGAGGGAATATATTTTGTTTTTGTTAGATTATAATGAGATGTTCACCTAGGTACTAAAGGTATAATAAACTGGCTCAAAGCCTTCCCCCATAATGTGGGCTCCCATCCATGGGTGTACATGGAACTATTTATCTCTGCCTCAGAACCTGAAATTTCAAACTCTGCACATTGCAACTAACAAGATAATTCAGACTACAGTGCTATGATCACAGCTAGAGTGTATGCTACAGATTTTTTTTTCTTAATTCTTAAATTTTTGGTACTGGGGATTGAACCCAGGAGCACTTTCATTACTGAGATACATCCCCAGCCCATTTTATATTTTATTTTGAGACATGGTCTCACTAATTTGCTTAGGGCCTTGCTAAGCTGCTGAGGCTGGCCTTGAACTTGTGATTTTCCTGCCTCAGCTCCCAGAGTTGCTTGGATTATAGGCATGTGTCACCACACCCAGCAGCTACAAATCTTTAAATAATTACATCTGTTTTGACTTAAGTTTTCTTAGTCACAGTTCAAATATTTAACACATGCAGTCTTTGACAAAATCAACTGCAGCTCAATGGCAATTCTAGTTAATTGTCATATTTAACTAGAGAAATGGGAGGGGTAGTCTACTTGAAATTGGTTTCTAAAGAGACCCAGATTAGATCTGAAAAACTGATTTAACTTGTTTGGTTATCAGTAGACTTTCATGATCTTCAGAACACTAAATAAAAATGCTGCCTTCCAGGGCTGGGGTTGTAGCTCAGTGGTAGAGCACTTGCCTAGAGTGAGTGAGGCACTGAGTTCGATCCTCAGCATCACATAAAAATAATAAATAAATAAAATAAAG